TGTGTACTCTGTATTACTACGGGGTCTATACAATGTTTTTGTGATATCACGTACTGGTGCTAATTCTTTTCATATAGTTTTAATATCACTCTTTGGAAGTAATTTTGGAACAAAATATCCCCGTGAATTCCCCTATTTCGCACAGGTGATTTATTCAATGTGATGATTAAAGAGCACCTAGAAGAGACCACCAATATAATATGGTCTATAAATAAGTGCTTTGTATGCATTCTTAATTAGGCTCTACAAAACCTGATGCTCATTATATCGATTTTGCCTCAACTTTAATCCATTTTGTATTGTTGAACTATCACATTCATTTCTTAACTCACCTCATGTTATTTAAGAATTTCTTTTTGTCTTACATTTTTATAATAAGAGTAATGTACACTTATTTTGAAATGATCACCCACCGTGCATCGCACGGGTACCATACTAGTTATAATACAACTAAAAGAAATACAGTGCAACAAAATGAAACAATTTTGATACAACAAAATGAAACAACGAACATCGTAAAAATGTATCACAATTCACAACTGATGTATAATTCAATCAATTATTTTAATTTATTACATCTATATATTATATTATTTGCCTTTGCTTGATCACATTTCTTCTTCCTTGTATGCACCTTAATACAGAATCCATCATAATTGTCTCTCATTTTCAATGGTGCCAAAATAAGAAAAATCCAGCCTAAATACAAATGCAACCATCCGCCACCCGGGATAGAGGGAACTCTTGAAATTGATGACTTGTTCAGGACACTGAAAGAAGAGCAGGCAGACTCTACTCTACTCTGTTTCTCCTTTTCTATTGAAGAGGAGATTCATTCATTTCCTCAGCTACTTGAGTAGATAAACCTTTTTCTTTATGAAGAAAACAAAAACAATGGCAATTCAAGCCTCATGAGCCATTATCCATGTGCAAGTTGATCTTCTTCACCTACAACTGCAGAGATTCCAATTCAAATTTTTGAATTACTGTCACTTAATAGTCAACCTTACATGATATACAACAAAAGCTAAGCCAATTTTCTATTCCCACCCAATAAGGAGCTATGCATTTGCAAACAGTAGCTTCCAATATCTTTTTTTGTGACAGCACAATAAGATACCAAATTCTAAACACCAACCTTGTTTCATTTTGATAACTTTAGTGGAGTTTAGGAGAGAAATGCTAACCAAGTCCTTCCCACACTCCACACAATGTATGTCAATCACCAAATTGAAAGAAAACAAAGACACACTAAGCAGCAGTAGAAATTCTAAGTTACGGTTGAAATAAGTGATATACACCCAACCACTTTGAGAAGTTGTCGAACTCTATGTAATCACTATCAGACATCATACCCTCGGGCTTTGCCCCTCCCCTTCCGTTGGACTTTAATTTCCGTGGCTGCTTGAACTGGCCTCGGCTCTCTTTTCCGTATGATATAGAGTCCTTTGATGATCCATAGAGAAAAGAGCAAGGAGGTTCCAACCATGTGGGGAGATTTATATATGAAATGATTAGAATCAGAATGATTCCAGTGCAAGTAATCCAAAAACGGCTTCCATAGAAAGTACATAACGGAAATGTGCAACCACATAATAAGTATCATGTAGGGCAATGTCTAGGCCTGAATTTGCCAAAACTATTCCAGTGAGTCCTCCTATGGGTTCTCGGATGTAATTCAGGTGTTTTCATATATTTGAATGAATAAATTGGATTTGCTCTATAAAATTCACTGCGGTGGAAGGCTATTGTCTTGTACCATGCTTTCCCAACAACCCTTACTAACTGGCTTCCAATATCTGAATCCAGCAAAACTAAGAAAATCAACCAAGGCCTATTGCTTATTCACTAGATACAAGAAATTAATTAATGAACACAAAAGTTAAACTTCAGCATAATGGATGAAGAACATAAATTTGTTGAACAAATGAGGATGAAGAACATAAATTATTCACCTTATAAATATTGTTTGGTAATCTGCTTGGTGAGATTAGAATACCTTTTTCTCTGATTTGAGTGAATTGATGCGATTCAATAACAACATACGATAGGACGATGGCTAAGGAGGATCTAAAATGGATTTCATCACCTCCGATCCAGTAAAGCTATATGAGGCACATCTCAACAACCTGGAAGTAAATCCGCACAATATGGAGGACGGAGCGCGGAGCTGCGAGAGATGATGGGCGGAGAGCAGAGCCGCACAGGACAAAGGCCAAACGGCGGAGCGCGGAGCCGCTGAAGCTGGAGGCGTAGTCGGAGCTGGGAAGGAGTAGAATAATCACACATCTTTCTGCTGTGGACGAAAGCAGCGGTTCTGGGGCTTGTCGATTGCTTGGACTGGTTGAGAGTTGCAGGAAGATTTTGAAGAATTCAGAGCTAAACTTTTCAGAGTTAGCAACAACTGAATTTTCTCTACGGGAGAAAGGAGTAACGCTGTCAGCGATGAAATTTACGGGTTTGATTTAGGATTTGAGCTATTTTTGAAATAAAAAACTAAGAGTGAAAAGATGAGAGTTAAAAATGAAAAGTAAACTATTAGAAGACATAAATGAAATGCATTTACAAAAAGTGACCCTACCCGGATATTTCCACCTGGGGATTTGGGCAGGTCTTTTCCGAGCCAAAGCAGATAGGCTCGGACCTCTACCTCTTGGCAGGGGGTGCGGATATGGCACATATTCGATGCAATTCAATTACATCGTATCAATCATGATAAGTTAACAACTAAATAGTTATTATTGTCGTTTTATATGATATTCCAATATTCCACTTTTATTACAATCATATGCATATGTAACTTATTTTGATAAATCATTTCCCATGCATCACACGGGTAGAATACTAGTCATATACGAAGTACATACTAATATAATACTCTATATATAATAGTGTGTGAGTCCATTTGAGTATGTGTCCAATGAAGTAAGAGATTTTGAATTTGAGTGTATGTCTCATAGAAAATCTCGATAAATAAAGATCATGATTGAGGAGAAGTTAACTGGTTTGGAGATTATTCAAGATTTCCTTAATTGAAAGTGACGTGGTAAAAACAAACCATAAAAAATCGTAAATTTGAGCAGCATGAATGAAGATGCTACTATTATTGTGTTTTTCACTTAAAGTGAGATTTTCAGGTTTAATGCGTTACATTATATATTTGCTAATTACATAGGATTCTCCATATAAATTTTTGGTTGTTCAACGGTTAAGTTTCGTTAATGAATGTCTGCTTATATAGGGAAAGTTCCCGAAATAGGACTAAAACAGTTTCAAAATTCTAAAATAGGACTGTCATATTTTTTATTACCAAAATAGGACTAATTATTGTCATGTTTAGAAAACCTCTCTTGTTCTCTCATCTATCCTTCCAGCTAGCTGCTTTGCCTTCAAACCATTGGGTACTGACATATTTACTAATTAGTCCTATTTTAGGAATAAAAACATGACAGTCATATTTTAGAATTTGTAAACTGTTTTAGTCCTATTTCGATAATATGTCACTTACATATCTAATTATATACGGAGTACTAATTACTTTTGGGAATTGTTAATTTGGGATTTGAGGGGACGGGGCCAAAAGCAATTTCGGGAACAGAATATTTCCATGGTGCAGAATACTAGTTAGTTTATTTAATTTTGGGAACAGAAGTTCTCCCGATCTTATCCGTCCTAAACAAAAAGTTTCATTTCAAATCTTAATTTTAAGAGAACTTGTTCAAAATAAGAAAACGATATACTCAAACAAAATTACAAATTACTACGTAGATTAATTTGAAAAATATGGATAAATAATGGCGTCAGATTTAAAGATAGATGCATACAACACACAAGATGGTTACAATGAGCTGGATGCATTGATTTTGTTTAACCGAACAAAATGGTAATTATGGTACCAAATCGAACAAAACAAAATCGAAATCGGATCATGTGCAATTTGGAATGAGTTTGGTAGTATTTTTTCAAACTGTATTAAATCGAACTGAACTGAAACCGATTAAAATTGAACAAAACCGAAACAAACTAAAAATATTAAATAAAACCTTCATATATTATTAAAACTTCCAATTTTCCTTTTTCGTCCGTTCCAATTAAAACTTCCACTTTCCCTTTTTGGTAAAGAATTTGTGGTTCACAACATTTCTTACACATTTTTCTCTCCTCTGCACAACTCTCCACCACACAATATCCACTATCTTAAACTTTGTGTCAAACCCATTTAGAAGTTAAAATGGGAATGGAGGTAGTAACAAATCCAAATTGAACCGAACCAAACCGAAAAATAGTATGGTTTTTGTATGGTAATAATTCTCCCAACCCGTTCCAAACCGAACTAAACCCAACCGAAGCTGATAAAAACCGAACCGAAAACTGATATGCTCACCCCTAGTTACAATATGCCATAGAAGCTATCAATATTCCTTGACTTATTTAGTCTTATTAGAAAAACAAAACAATAAAAATTTCTCAAAAGTCAAAACTTAAGTGAAAGTGAGATTAAAAAAAAACAATGGTTTGTGTTTGAGTTAATATAATATACTACTACACATTTCCTCCGTTCTTTTTTAATTGCAATAATTTAGTTTTTACGTTTGTCAACGCACAAGTTTGATCATCAATATCTTTGAGACTAAAAATATTAAAAAATTCCAATTTTGATAATTTAAAGCGAGAGAACATTAACAACATTTTCAAATAATTTATAGTACATTAATAAATAAAATATAGTCAAAGTGTAGTATGTGAATAATGAAATTCACCAATGTTGCAACTAAAAAATAATGAAGAAGTATATTTTACTCCTTTTTGAAACCTTTCTCTTATTTTAATTTAAATTCCATTCTCACTAAAAACATTTAAGTTGATAATCATATTAATATTTAGTTACACTTGGTGTGTTGAATAGCGAAACATTGAATTTGAATATAATAAGCATTCAAATAAAATACTCCGTATAAACTAAGGAGATATGAATTTTTCGTAGAATAATTAATGTATTTTGGAAACAGGAGTTTAGAACAAAGGACCGAAGGAGGGGTGAATTTTAAGAGGCGTTTTTGCTTGAATATAAACACTTTCGTAAGTCTTCGACAAAAAAGTGTGCCCCTAAGCTGCTTTCTTAAATCAAAGCGAGAAAATGGACAACTTTTCAAAATTGCCTGAGGAATGCATCTCTGAAATTCTTTCCTTAACTTCGCCGGCGGATGTATCCGCGTTTTCTATCATCTCTAAGCGATTCAAATCAGCATCCGACTCCGATACTGCTTGGAGCAAATTTGTGCCGTCGGATATTGACGAAATCAATTCCAAATCTTCGACTCCACTGCCTTTTCAGTTACCGCCGCCGTCCAAGAAGCATCTATTTCTTAGCCTCTCCGATAATCCGATTGTCCTTGATGCAGGCAAAAAGGTGCAATTGTTACTGCATTTTATACATCTGGGTTTGGATCTTTTTAATTTAATTTACTCCAGTTAATTAACTTAGACTTCGTATTAAAACTTGAAAACAGAAATTTTATCTGGACAAGTGTTCTGGCCAGAAATGCGTTATGATTGGACCTGCCGAGCTTTCTTTCTTTGGGACCAATGTTCAGGCAGAGTACCCGAAAAGCAGACCTGACCCAAACGCCAGGTTTGTTACCAAATTGGCAATTTATACCCTTCAACGGGCGCATGAGGGTGGTGCGCTCGGTTGCAGAATGACGCAGTTTCAGGTTAATTTCATTATTTTTTATTTCTTTTATCGTTAAAAATTGTAATAAATTTTTTATTTGATATCCGACTTTTATAAATTTTATATCAATTTTTTTTCATGATCTATCAAAGGAGACCAATATTGCTTATGTAATTTTAATAAATTATTTTGAAGTTACATTTGATAATATATCATGAAGTTACATCTTCTTCTGCGTGAGTTACATCTTATTGTACGTGAGTTACATTTTAATATACGCGAGTTACATCTTAATGTATGTGAGTTACACCACGAAATAAACCCTTCATACATCTTTCATTTTTATCATTTGAAAAATAGTGTATGAATATGAAATACAATATACTTATTTTATGTGGATGAATAAAATTTTGTATTAAATTGGCAAAGAAAAAAATTAATTCAGTTATAATTGAATTAGTTCAAGATAAAGATAAGTAAAAAATCACAAATAATTAGATATGACTCACACATAATTACATGTAACTTGCGCACAAAAGTATGTAACTCGTGTATAACAAGATATAATTCACACATAACAAGATGTAACTCACACATAATTGCATGTAACTCGCGCATAAAAGTATGTAACTCGTGTATAACAAGATGTAATTCACACATAACAAAATGTAACTCACACATAATTACATGTAACTCGCGCATAAAAGTATGTAACTCGTGTATAACAAGATGTAACTCACACATAACAAGATGTAACTCACACATAACAAGATGTAACTCATACATAATTAAAAGTAACTCGCACATAAAATTATGTATCTCGTGTATAACAAGATGTAACTCACACATAACAAGATGTATCTCACACATAATAACTTGTAACTGGAGTATAAGATGATGTAACTTCGTATATTATCAAATGTAACTTCAAGCTAGAAACAAAATAAACAAACTCAATATCTTTAAAACCTTTAAAAACATATAAAAGTGATAAAAAAATATATTATAGAAAAAGTGTATGCATATAAAAATATATTACAAAAAATGTATGAATATAAAAAATTAAAATTACATAGGCAATTTTGGTCTCATTTGAAAGATCATGAAAAATAAAAAAATTTGATATAAATTTTATAAAAATCGGATCAAAAATAAAAAAATTATTAACAATTTTAAGAAAAGGAGAAATAAAAAATAACAAATGGACTGTAATTCGTCTCAGACCAGATCATACCAGATCAGACCAGACCAGATCAGACTTGGATAGTTATAAACATACAAAGAAACCAGACCAGACTAGACCAGTTCAGACTAGATCAAAGCAGACCAGATCAGCAAATTACAATCCAAGTAAAAACTTCCTAAGCACGTTATCAAATTAAACTTAATTTTCTTCCCAAAATTAAATACGTCTAGTTTTGTTGAGAGAGAAAATAGACTATGTCTAGCACAAGGTCTCAATTGAGAGTTGAGACCCTCCACAAAAGCTAAAATTGTGTTTGTGGGCCTTTAAACATTTCTAGACACTTATCTAAACGGATGTAGTGTTTTCCTTTTACTTTAGTTTTCTTTTCTCCTTTTAATTTTATTTTCAACTCCTTCCATGGGAGACATAAATGAATGGACCTTGTCACTTTTTAAATTTTGGCTCACACATTCAATAGACCAAACTCACATTTTTGCCACATCAACAACTGTTGTTGCTATTGCTATTACTACTATTACTACTATTACTATTATTATTATTACTATTATTATTACTATTACTATTATTATTATTATTATTATATTATTATCACAATTTTTATTATTGTTATTATTATTTTTACTATTTCAATGACTGTAATTATTACTATTTCTATTACTACTATTATTATTTTTACTACTATTATTACTATTATTATTATTATCATTTTTATTATTGTTAGTATTATTATTATTATTATTACTACTACTAATATTACTATTATTACTATTATTATTACTATTATTACTATTATTATTACATTTGTTATTACTATTATTATTACTATCATTATTACTATCATTATTACTATCATTATTACTATCATTATTACTATTCTGATTACTATTATTATTACTATTTGATAGAGTATATCTAGAGAGAAGTGAGAGCTAGAGAGAGAAGTGCAATAATATTTTTCAATAGAATGAATTTGTAACCCCTATAACTACTCCCAAGGGGAGTATTTATAGAGAAAATTAGGGTTGGGCTCCCAAGCCTTGGGCTTGGGAGGCCCATTTACAACTGGACCGCTACTGGGCCGGATACAAAGCCTCTAATGGGCTGTACAAATGAGTAAGTATAGGATCCGATTCTGGGAGGTCCTCGTGGCCGACGAGGGCGTGGCCGACGAGGGCACGGCCGACGAGGGCACCCGGGTTCCTTGGACTCAGGATCATAATCCGGGTTGGCTTCTTCTCGGCCGACGGGGGCGTCTTGGCCACCGAGGGCGCCACTCTGTTGTCTCGTGCTCTGTTCTTCCGAGTATGTGGGTCCTGAGGCTCAGACCCATATACTCCATCAGGAGTCCTCCACTCTCTAAGCTGAGATGTAGACGAAGTGAAGGAGAGTAGATTTCTGTGCTTTGTTGCTTTTGGCCGACGCGGGCATTTCTAGGCCGTTAGCCGTTGCGGCGTTGGCGTTGTGTCCTCTTTGGTGATCCTGTTCCTCGCTGTGGGCGGGGAGGCCGTTGTTTCCTTAATTTGTTTTGGGACGATGAGTGTCCTTTTTTCAACGGTGGCCGTTGAAGGCGCGCTTTCCCTTTCCTGGCCGTTGGTGGTTGAAGTTTATGTTTGGGCCGGTGAAGCCGTTGAGGTTGTTCCTTGCTTTGAGGACGATGGCCTCATTTCCTTTGTGTGGCCGTTGCTGGTTGGCCTTCGTGTTTTTTGGCCGAAGAGCCCCTCGTGATTAAGTGATGGCGGAGGACGATGAGCGTCCTTGCCTTTGGTGGCCGTTGGCCGTTGCAGATGATGTTGTGTACCTTCGGTCAACGAGGTACAGTGTGATGCGTGGCCGATGTGGCCATGCTCCGTGGTTACCTTGTTTGCACTCTTTTGTTTTGTTGAGGCCGGTGTAGTCCCCCAGTCCCCCACTGCTTCAGGCCGAAGAGTGTGAGGGGTGAAGGAGTTGCTTGAGTCCCTGGCCGAAGCGGTCTCGCCGTAGTTCCCCTGAATCAAACTCTCATGGCGATTTTCTGGCCAAGTTAACCCTGTGGGAGAACCCTTGTGCACAGATCGCTTGTAGAGAGTTATCATCAAGGGTTATTACGAGGAGCCGAAGGCTGTGGGCTATTTGTCCCCTTTGTTCTGTGGCCGTCACGTTCCTGGCCGTTGCCATCCTCTTATTGTTTGGCATTTGTGATATTGGTGAGCAAGTGGGACGTTGTGGGCGCTTGCTGGCAGTTGTAAAGCCGTTGAGCGTGTGTAGGCCGTAGAGTCTGATTTGTCAGTGGTCCGTTGATGTGGCTTGGGCCTGGCCTGTTGGTGTCGTGGTAGCCTCCCATTGGTGGCCGTTGATATGGCCATTGGCAGAGTGCCACGTGTAGTGACCGTTGGTGGGGGGGGTCTATAAATACCCCTTCCCCTCCGACGAAGAATCACATTTGCATTCTGAATTTGTCGAAGTGCTGGCCGATTTTCTAGAGAGAGAAACTTCAAAGCCTGTTCTTCGTGTTCTTCATTGTTTGAGGTTAGTGTTCATCACGATCTTCCTCACTTTTCATATTTTGCTCCGTAAGTAGTTGATCTAGTGTTAGGCATTTAAACACCTTTAGATCGTAAATTCTCCTTAAGCCAGTAGTAGTAGTAATGAAGAGCTTGAACGACGACTACTACCCCTACGACGATCAGCCCTCCACGAGGTCGCTTGACTACGAGGTGCTCGAGGAGTTTGAGGAGGAGATAGAGCGTTTAAGTCCATACAAATCCGGGGAGCTGATGGACGAGGGAGGCGAGGACGAGGAGTCCGCCTCTTCTTCAAGAGGTGAGGACGTAGGTGCGTCCCGAGTGGTGGACGGGGCGTCCACTTCTGCTGTCATTCCGTGCCCGAGGCCGGTGTCCGCCGTTAAGGGAGCCGCCAAGCCGAAGAGAGTGAGGAGGCCGAAGAGTGGGCCCGGCGTCTCCTACTTGGATCTCACCAACATCTACCTGATAAAGCCGGAGAGCAGTGCGGCCGACTATCTGGTTGCCCAGATGTACGTGGGGCCGTTCGGGCGGGTTAGGGTGCCCAAGCCGACAGACCATGTTCTTCTTCCACCACCGGGATACTTTGGAGTATACCCGATTAGCTTTGCTAAGGGGTTGAGGTTTCCTCTTCACCCTTTCATTACTGAGTACCTGGACATGGTAGGGCTTCCTCCGGCCCTGCTGACGCCGAACAACTACTCCTTGATGGTGGGGTTCTTGCTCCGGTGTGAGGAGTTGGGCTACAAGCCGACGACGGCATTATTTATGAATTTGTACCAGATAGGCCGAGGAAGCCACAAGAACTGTGCGGCCTACGCTACTCTTCAGCAGCTGCCGAAGAAGAGGAGCTTCACGGATTTGCCCACGTCCATTCATGGGTGGAAGAGCAAGTTCGTGTTTGTGTCCATTGGTGAGAGTGGCACCGAGTTTCCCTCCATCGGCCACACCGGGAGATTTAATCTGCATGACCCGCCGAAGAGCTCTATTTTGGACGCTCAGGTGGAGGCTTTCCTTGAGGGGGGGGGGGGGGCGAGGAGCGTGAAAGATTGCATCACTGAGTACAAGATGGCCGCCCTCGGCTTCGTTAGGTACTATGTTTATGGCGACAAGGAGGATGACCTCCAACTCTGGCCGAGGATGACCACCACCTTTGAGGAGGCCGACGGCCCGGACTTGGGCATTCCTGCTGAGGCCGATGGTAATTCTTTCTTCGGCTTTTTGTCTTTATGTTTTGTCCTTTGCCTTACTAATCTCTTTGTGCTTTTTCCTTGTAGATTTTGTCATGGACCGCCGTTCCATGATGGCTATTGCAAAGGCCAAAGCGGCCGAGGA